GTGGTCTTCATTTTTATTTTTTGACCTTGAATATGTCCTTTTAACTTGACCTAAGTCTATTTTTCTCACCTCTTACCTCTTTATTAATTTTTTATATATATATTCCTATGACAAGTCCGTGTGTGATCAGATTGTTCGAAATGTGTTGCGCAAATACATTACACGATTCAGACAAATTACGTCTTCTTATTGCTTTATCTAAATTCATAAAGGGAACTAATTGTTTTAAATATTTTTAAAAGTAGTGAGTGTCTTTGTTCTTCTTTTTACCACTCGTTTGAATCCTGATCGGAAAAGTTATCGGTATAGTTCCATAACTTGGAAGTGTTGGGTTTGATCCCTAGCAATGAGGTGATTGCCGTAGACTGGGTACTGCGATAGACAGCGGGCGGGGCAACGAGGAAAAACGGGCAGAGAATGGAACCACATAAAATACTTGGAGGATCTGGACTTTGCCGAATTTGTCTGATTTCCCACAAACTGAAAGATATGCAAGTGAAAAGCGACAAGTTGGCGATAGAAGAAGCATACAGAGAACATACGACTTCAGTTGAACATATAGAATACAGGGGTGATGAAGATTCCTGGCCAACAACAACAACAGCAACAATAACAGACAACAATCAGCATAAATGGGAGGAATCTGAAAGAAGCGCCATCCTTTGCTGACATACGTGGAAAGCATTGTTTCAACTACAGGGGGACAGAACCGATGAGGATATCAAAACAGAGAAGATTGGGAAAGCAAGACAAGCTTTCGTAAATCTCAAGTTTGTTTGGTGATCAACAGCACACTTCAGCATGAAAACCAAAATCCGGATTTTCAACTCCAATGCGAAGTCCATGCTACTTACTATACGGATCAGAGACTTGGCGCGTCATGAAGAGCACTTCAAACAAACTACACAACTTAATCAATCAGTAACAAGAAGGAATCTCTTGGAACGAACCAACCCAACAGGAACCAGTTGTGAAACAAATCTACAGAAAGAAATGGTGGTGGATCGGCCATAGTCACTCTGAGGAAACAAACCATCAAATGGGTGACATCACACACCAAGTCATCGCTCGAGTGGAACCCGAATTGGAAGCGGCGAGTTGGTCGTCAGTGTCAGGGTGGAGTGACATGGAGGAGAAGGTCATGTGAAGAGGAGATGAAAGTATGTGGGCAGAATTGGAGCCAGGTGAAAACGTTAGCAGAGAACCAAACGTGTGGCTTAAGCCGTATGTTCCTCTAGGAACTGAAGGAAACAACAACAATAATAATAACAATGAGGTGGTGGATGCGTACTTCTGAAGAGTCTCAAACTAGGACGAGACATTTGTCCAGTATTCTGTCGTTCTTAGTGTCTCGATTTGATTTGATTTTTTCTTAATTTTGGTTTTTGATTTACAGCTTGATTCCACACTGTATTTTTGGTACAAGTATGGAATTTTCAGCATGGATATTGGTAGCCCAAATTTCGCAGGCCGACCATAGATATCAAGTGTGCGTCAGCGTGGGCTCGAACCCCGGACCATGTGCATGGTGGGCGAGAGTCCTAACCACTGTGCCACCGACGCACAGCAGTTTCAATTGCCAGTAACTGTGGCTTTGACTGTCGCTCAACGCATTGCTATAACCTTGCCTTAACCTGAGGCTAGCGACCCTTACCTGTCAAACAACACTGTGGTTAATGAAGCTTCAAGCCCCAAAATTTCAATCGGAATGCAAAGGAATGTTGAATCGAATAAAAACATGTTTGAGTGGTAATCAGTAATTAAAGTTTCTTTACAGGATTTCATCATGAGCTGACATTAGTTAGACAACCACTGGAGAAACAACTGGGAGTACTGCACAGCTGTTTCGTCAGGCTAGTTTGGGACTCTTCACAGCACGCACCCACCGGGATTCGAACCCAGGACCTTCTGACTACAAGGCGAGCTAGCTCGTATACCATTAAGCCACTGGGACCTGATATAGTGGTCAATAAAATAGGTTAAATGTAGTTGAGATATGAATGATGCATCATAGAAACACTTCATTCTTTTGATAAATTTAAATAAGGCATTCAGAAGACGAAAATATTATTTAGAGATGACATCATTTCATAGTTTCCCTACAAATATAATTTACAAGTGGTATGATTATCAAGCCGCTAAAGAAGGGTGAATTAAGCCAAGTAAAATACTATTTTGCGTCATCCTGTAGAAAACCAAAGATGTGCTGGATACAGAACTCTGTCATCCCAGAACAAGCTGGATTCATGAAAGGCGGCAAATCATGTGCTGATCAAATTGCAACTCTACGCATCGTCATTATCGAAGAGACAGTGCATAGAATGACAGTCAAACGCCTCGCTACCTCAACTTCATCGACTTCTAAAAAGCCTTCGACACACAGCATTGATTGAGAAGTAATTTGGAGATTAATGTAACACTACTGCGTGAAGCGCTTCAAGTCTTTATCAAACTTATTCAACATCTGGCTAGATGACAATGCCATAAGTCAGGGGATCCTAAAAGGAAAATTCACTCAACGATGCGTTCGAAGTGAAGACAAGAGAAGGATATGGCTGACGACTGCCTATTATCACCAGCGATGATATTCTTAATTTTAGTGGACTGGATTACACGGAAGACTGTGTGAGGGGTGTGAGAAGCCAGGAATACATTGAACCAGCCGATAAGAATACTCTAGAAGTTCCGAATTCCGCTTGTGGATCATTTATGTTTAATGTCACATTTCATACAAACTCGAAGAATTACAGGCAAGCGAAAACCGAGAAACTAAAAGAAGAGGTTGGCTAGCTGGCTGGCTGGCAGGCAGCCAAGACAGGACAGATTTCAGGTGAACATAGAGAAGTTGGAGACGGTGGTGATGGAGATAACCAACAAGCCAGTAGCAACATCAACTCTGTGTAATTTTGCTTGTCTCTTGTTTCTGTGATCACATTGTTAATCAGTTTAATAGTTACTCATCGCTTTAGTCACCCTTCGTCTTTATTACGTAACTCCTTTGCCATCGTATGTAGACAGTGTCGAAACGTGACTAGCAGTGGGATCCAGAATGAGCATTTCGTCCTATTTGAGACTTATCGTTTAGACATACTTGCTTTCTCCAGTAAGTGGTAGTGTTCCCACTAGGGCTGGAACCCAGTACCCAGAGTTTTAAACGCCAAACCGTTATCCGCTAGAATACATGAGCTACAAAAGGCGCCTCTTTCTTGTGCAACGAGTACCAATAATTATTTTACTCCATTTTGAACTTCTCCGCTGATTGATTGGATGGAAGTATGTTGTCTTCTGACCGATAGCTGATACCTTGACGTGATGGCCAGGCTTGCACATCGCAATAACCCAACAAGCTATACTGGCTGGAACCAATATTGGTTACTGCAGGTCCTACCATGCCAGGAAGGTTGTTAGGTTAACGATTAGACTAAAAGCAGTTACCGGCATAGTGTAAGAATTTTTTTACACTATGCTGGGGAACAGGGATTTAACAGCCGCTAATGCGGTCTCTCCGCTCTGAAGAGAGGGGGTTAGGAAAGGTCGACTCTAAAAATTGTACATCCCAAATTACACTACGGTGGTCCGTAACCGATGGTAAATTTACTAATACGGAACCAAACCAAGAAACCAGTTCAGACAGGTTGTGTGTGTGTGACCGGCCTCAAGCAGTTGTCCCCTGAGCTCTGCGGTCACGCAACACTAATCCTCTTTCTGTTTCAGGTACCCGGAGATTCAACCAACTTCCACGGTGTGGTGGGAGGAGCAGCCGGGAGCTAACAACCGCTCACACACTTCCAAGAGCAAATGATTTGTTGGCTCCATGTACAGATGGTTCCATGATGTTTGGTTATTTAACTTGAAGTGATTTAGTAGTGGAATCCAGTATGCGCATTTCATCCTATCTGAGGCTCGTCTCCTGGAAATATATATATATATATATATATATATATATATAACTTAATAACTTCTTTAGGCTACAAGCAGCTGATGTGAAGCCAAAAAAATAAATTATGGTACTGCGTTATTCTCTACAAACAGCTGTTGTTCTTGCTTTATTCAAATACTGTGCCACTGAGTGAATTCCATGGAGGATTTCATCATGAGCTGACATCAGTTAGAGAACCACTGGAAAACCAACTGGGAGTACTGCACAGTTGTTTCGTCCCAGTTTGAGACTCTTTATCAGTACGCACACACCACAGGAGGTTCGAACCCAGGACCTTCTGGTTGCAAGGCGAGATAGCTCGTATACCATTAAGCCACTGGGATCCAATCCAATGGTTTTTGAATTCTAACTTCTGCGGATTCACGAGATAGCGTGACTGATGTCAGCTCATGATAAAATCGTACATCCAATCAAACGAAATCCCTACAAAGAAACCAATACTTGAAAATTCATCTGGTGCTCACTAGCAACTGGTCCTATTCAGATAGGCAGTTATCTGGGGTCCTAGTGGGAAGTCGTGACCAGTAGGGTACAGCGGATTGAAGATGAGGCAGTAACTCATCGAAGAAGACGTTACGAAATGGTCGCACTATGTCATGAATTGGCAGAAGTTAGAATTCAAGGGCTAGCCATTGAATGGGCGGGTCCCAGTGGCTTAATAGTCTACGAGCTAGCTTACCTTGTAACCAGAAGGTCCTGGTTGGAACCTAGGCGGTGGGTGAGTACTGATGAAGAGTCCCAAACTAGGCTGACGAAACAGCTGTCCAGTACTCCTCCCTTTGAGTTTTCCAGTGGTTCTCTGACTGTTTTCAGCTCATGACGAAATCCTCCATGCAATCAAACAAAATCCCTACTAAACCAATACTGAGTGAATTCATTAAATAATTTCTACTCTGTCATATGGAACCGTATTTTTTATCCCTTCTATCATCTGAATGAATAGTACTCAGTCAGTGTCAAATCTATTTCATTAAACATTTTCTTATGTGAATAAACAATTAATAAAAGCCAGTTTCATTTACCATTCTTTCTCTTCTGATCTCTTCTTTTTATATATTAGATCGTGATGAAAGACAAGCTCAATTGGATAATTCAGCAATGGCTTTTGCCCTGAAGGATTTCAATATGCCTAAAATTCGGTGAGCACAAACCAAATAATGAGTGTTAATAATCACATCCATCCATATCTCTCTCTGTCTATCTATCTATCTATCCTAATCTAGACGTAAACGGGGTACAAATAAACCAGATGCAGGGGATACTGAAAATACAACCACTAAACCACCTACTACCACTACTACTACTAATATTATAAAAAATAAAGCCAGACGTTTTAAGAGACTAAGGCGTACACAATCATTCCTCAGTTGTTGTATGCGATAAACCACACACACACACACATACACACGCAAGCACACACACACATACGTGAAATTCTCGTATCAACACCAACTGGTTCTTCACTGCTTCACTTTTTTGGGGTGTTTTTTTACTCTGATTCGCTTCATGTTCTTCGTCTATACCGACTAGTAACAATAACGATATATAAATATTTATACTACTTATACATGTGTATTACGTAACAATTAAGGTTGTGAATTAAACTATGCCATTTGTTGAAGGTATATAACACTTATCTAACCTCATATTTAGTTGCTATGCGTTTCTGCACTTGTATTCATGTACGCATGCTTATGAGCAGAAATAATAGGCGCGAAAACTAATAATAGAATAGTCGCAGTTGTTTTTTTATCACCTCAAGCGAATAAGACGAATAATTTATATCTTCCAAGCAGCACGTTCAATTCTACTGCTAACACTATTTGCCTTTATTTTCCGTATACTACTTATTTTTAATTATCAGTAGTTTGATATTTTTAGACAAAAAACAAGTTGATTTGTTGATTTTTTATTTTAAGAAAAAAAAGTATTTTTACAATCAAATGTGATCAGAATTATTGTTACTGTTGTGATTATTAATAATATTGTTATTATTATTACTAATACTATTACTATTGCATAAAGCTAACACATATATGGCTAGTTATATTCTTATTATTATTCTAAGAAAGCGTTATGTCATTTCATGTAGCAGTAACATTTACATATTTCGGCCAAGTTAAACATTCGACACCACTAACTGCCAATCAGCTAACGACGTCAAATTATCCAATGAGATTCACGAACACAGTTCAATGTTGTATAGCGCTTGATTTATTTCTAATGCGTTCCCTTACAAGGTTACGGTTGCAATCCGAGGAGGACAGTGTTTTCCAGTATTGCCTGGATTTAGGGTTGCTCCGGAAGGAGCGAACTTGTTCGTTTGGTGGTATCATGACTTTAAAAAGCTATAGCAGATCAACTGATGGATTTGTTCATCGTTGTGCTATACCTTTGAAGCGTGCTAACATTAGAGAGGGTAAGCTGATAACTTTAATATTTCGTAGGAACTTTTTCGCTACGTTGCATCTGTCTCTAACCCAGATTTTGTATATCTGCAACTACTGGGTGTTGAAACAGCCGGTGAGAGCAGCAGCTGCCGAGACGGAGAATAGCCTCGTCTCAACGGTTCAGTGGTACCAGCATTGCGGAGATATTGCTTCGTGGAAAATAGAGAAAATCACTTGTTTGCTAGGTAGAGAAGACGTTGTCGTGCATGTCGATGAAACTGTGCTGGTGAAAAAGAAATGCAACCGTGGTCGCGAGAGAGCGAACAACATTTGGGTATTAGGTTTATACGACACCTCCCTCCGAAAGGGATTCGTCGAACTGATAGCTGACAGAAAAGCAACCACTTTAATACCTATTATAACGAGACTTGTTAAGCGGGAGTCAATTATACACACGGACGAGTGGAAAGGTTATAATTCGCTGTCATCTCTGGGCTATATTCCTCACAGATTGAACCATTCAAGCGATTTCGTTGATCCTGTTACGAGGACTCATACGAATTCCACTGGAGGGTTTTGGGCCGCTTGAAAAACAGGATAAGGGCTATAAATGGATCTCAAAAGGATCTCATTTATAGTCATTTAGATGAATATATGTACAGGAGGTGGTGTCACTTCTCCATTGACAGTCCCATGCTAAACTGGGAGATTTTTCTCTGGCATGTTCGAGAAAAACACCCCTAGTAACCGTCTTATCCTTTTTTCTATAAATACACGTTTCCATTTACCATAAATGCCTCTTTAATGTGATTGGTCCGTTCAAGGTCGTTTGCTGATTGGTTGTTAGTGGTGGTGAAAGTTTAACTTATCCCATATTTCTAATGTTCTTTTCGACGAAGTCATCATCAAGAAGTATTTTTCTCAGCTGAAGGGCAAATTACATTGTGAATAACAAGGAAGTTTAGACAAAAAACTTTCTAATAGTTACTGATATAAGAATAGGGCTTGGACACTGTAGTAGATGTGGGTTGAGTCTCACAGTGTTACACAGTAATATTTACTAATGACAACATTTTGAGCACGATTTATTGCTGCTCATAATCATATCAAGATGCTCACTCACTCAGCTTTCCAACTTCGTATATATAATTCCTTTATTTCTCATCTTTTCATTTGATTGGTAATAACATTTTCTATATTTCTAGTATTGGCAATGTCTGTCTGTCTGTTTTCGACATAGAACTTTGCACAAATGTGCACCAGTTCAAGTCGCCACACTCCGTGTAGCACGCGAAGCAAGAGAAGAAAGTACAAGAAAAGCATAATAGAAACAGTGAGCAGAGGTGTGAGACAATGGAGTAATAACGAAGAACAAAACAGTTTCATTGGAGATCATAAGTCACAGGGAGTGGATGCATCTGCGCTAGCCACTGAGAACGATTTTGGGCCATATCACCAATTGCTTCCAACCATAGATTTTTACCGTCCCGAGGACCCCAGCCAGTCAGGAAGTCTACACCTTCCTACGTGGCTTAGACCAACTGTTGTGGATTTCATTGACTGGTGCCAAGTTTTTGTTTGACCGCCGCTAGCTTTTTTCCAGCCTGACCCTATATCCGCCAACATTGCTCGTCGAGGAAGGCGATGACCAGACATACGCAACACATGTCCTAACCATCTCAGTCTTTGTAACTTCGCGACTTCGTCGACTGATTTCCCATGTTTACCTAGAACTCTGCGCCTAACCTCAATGTTGCTCACCTTATTATGCCACTTTACACGGGAAATAGAGCGCAGGCACCTATGATCAAAGACAGGTAGTCTTTTCATGTCTTCCACTCTGAGTGGCCAGGTCTCACAGCCATAAAGGAGGACGGAGTGGACTGATGAGCAGTACACCCGCCCTTTGGTCGATAGTCGAACATCTCGTCCACTCCAGAGTCGGCGTAAACTGGCCAATGCGAAACGAGCCCCCTGTATTCGTGCTGAGATTTCGTCAGAGATCAACCCGTTGGGGCTGATGGTACTTCTCAAATAAGTGAAGCGATCAATGTTCTCTACCACTTCACTTCCTATTTTTTAACTAGGCGTCGATGTAGTCCAGTCCTGTAACATCATCTTGCATTTGGTGGGAGCGAATCACATGCCAAACATTGGTATTGGCGATGAGTCATTCCCAATGCATGCGTTGTGTGTAGATTGGATGAACTAAGATTCAATACTTCTCAACCTCTCTCTCTCTGCCTACTTTTATTACTTTTTAGAATTTTAACTCTGCCTCACCCTGCGCAGGATTCTTAATAAAGCAGGAATATACGGAGGCATTTAAACTTACAAACTCACTCAGGTAGGAAAAGCTATGTAGGTCAGAGGACCCTTTCGGTTGACCGAATTGGACAAAATAATATAACTTACAAAATACCTTGCAACGACTGTGAGTTAGGTCAACTAAATAGGTAAAACTAGTAGATCGGGGGTAGTCAGATTGTCGGAACATAAGAATTTAGCAAAGGTAAGAATGATTGACGTCGCAAGGATAACTAATTTAGACAAAATCTCAGCACTGTATTGCACTACATGCATGCATTAACACACATCCACGCAATAGTGTGGTACAGAGTCATACTTCTCAAAAGTAATGAAGGTAGGTGGAGAAAGAGATTGATTACTGAGTCGCCCAGAGTTGTACAGTAATATTAACTGATGACGTTTCGAGCACGAACTATTGCTCATAATCATATCAAGTTCAACTTGATATTACTGTACAACACTGTGTGATTTAGAGCAAACAATTGTTTTCAATAAATTCTTCTTCAGGCTCTACAATTATTAATCCATTAATCTAAGCATACAATAGCCAGCCAGCCAGCCAGCCAGCAAAGGCAAATTAGAATCATATCAGAAAGCGTATCATGGAACAAGTATAAGATGGGATGAAACAATAGTCGTATAGTTCTTAAATATGCATGGTCAATGAGAACATGGGGCAAAATGAGATGAAATAATTTAATTTAATGATGTGTGTGTAGGTATATATATATAAATATAGTCAACAGAAAATACAGGTTTCAAGAGTGAGTGTAGTCAGGGTGTGTGAGACAATATGAAAATAAACCAACTAATGGGGCGGTCTAGACTTAAGTTCAAGGTTGAAAATAACAAACATAAGAATGATTGTAAAATAATAACGATGAAATGGTGTAAACGTACATGTACTATTGGTGAATGATTGTCAAATAATAATAATGAATATAATGAAGTGGAATGAACAGGATTTTGTAAATACGATAGCAAGTTAGAAAAGCACTACTTAAACCTAATGTAATAAAATCATAAGAAAGGTCATGAAATCATAAAAGTCGAAAATGAACGTTTGTCAATGAAACAGAGGAATAGAAGAAGGAAAAGAAAAGAAAATTTTGAAAGGAATTTATGGTGTTAATGGAGGACTTGTTGGCTTTAATTGTAGGCCAAGGTAAACACAGAGGTTGCACATACTTCTTCTCCATGCAAAGAGATCATCTTCTGGTATTAATTGCAACCGCTTCAGCCACTGATAAAACACGTAGCCGAGGTCCTCTAGATAAATGACTAGGAACGCGGTAAATAACTGAGAACGCCTGATCAAGTTTTATCGGGTGTCCAGTATCTACCAAGTGGGCTAAGACTGCACTATTTATGCATTTGGTAACTCCTTTACTCAACCATACAGGTACATGTTAACGCGCGTGCGCATGGATAAAGCCCTCTGAGTACGGCCAATGTAACTAGATCCACATGAGCAGTTGAACTCATAGATGCACATTGATGAGGCCATCTTTGGTAATTTATGTTTGGCTTGCTGTGTGAGTGCTAGTTTAGTTAAGAAGTTTAGTAACAATTCCACAATACACTTTCTGATATGATTCTAATTTGCCTCCACTGTCTGGCTGGCTGTTGTATGCTTAAATTAATGGGTTTATAATTGTAGAGCCTGAAGAGGGAAGAATTTATTGAAACCACAATTGTTCGCTCTAACTATTTTGTTCTGAATAAATTATGGGAATATTCAATTTACTGTGTGATTTATCAAAATAAAATCTTATCCATAATGGAGTTATGCTCTACCACAGTGCCCAAGTTTTATACTTTATATCAATGATTACTGAATCGTCGGTCATAGAATTTACACCCAACATATGCAATGGTAATGACTTATCACCGATACCAGAGATATGGAAAATACTGCTGTAACAATGGAAGGTAAGACACAGGAACCGAGGTGTATTTTTCATTAGTCAAACTGCTGTTTATATCTATACGGTTTATATTCGTTAACCAATCACTGTGTGTGTAAGATTTCGGTTTATACCAAACGACAACAAATGGAATGTCCAAATATACATAGTATTCTATATTTAATGTCGAAATTAACTGTGGTAACATGTGAGAGTAAAACTCCGTTGGGACACATTGTCTGTATCACACTACCATACAACTACCAATCAAATAAAGAGATGAGAAATAGTGGAATTATGTAAACGAAGTTGGAGAGTTGTGTGAGTGAGCATCTTGATATGATTATGAGCAGTACTGCGTCGGTGGCAAAGTGGTTAGGACTCTCGCCGACCATGCACATGGTCCGGGGTTCGAGCCCACGCCGACGCACACTTGATATCTA